CACTGACGCTTAGCTTGGGGAGAAATACGTGACGTGACAAATTGGCCAGCGTAGTCACATGTAGTTAAAACGTAGCTGTCGCAGCCCTGACAAAGGGCTAACGCTCGAAATGTCGGCTTTAAAAACTCTTTGATCAAATCAAACTATCTCCACCGACGTAACACAACAGTTTCTTTAGAAAATTGCCTCTTTTACAAAAGTGCAGTTAAGAAAAACTAACATGAAATTCAACAACCATCATCTGAGAGGACTCTGATAAATTGATGTTAGAGAGGTTTATCGAAAATATGGTTATATCGAAATATGTACAATGAGTCTCCGGACTGATATCCCATTTTGCATTGGCAGGAATAACTTCCAAGTTTGTTGCAAGTATGCTGTTCACACTTGTTTACTCCATTAACGTATTCGTCCAAGTCTAAGAAACCAAATGAAGAGAATACGTGACTATATCATTTGTGTGAATGTATACTCCGTTGCAGCAGAATTTCACGAAGAGTAATCTCAGTGACATTCTCTGAGAAATGCTGTTTTTTCGAGATAGTGCCAGGGCCCTAAAGCAAACCACGACAGAGCCAACGACGAAGACGTGGCAAAACAAAAGACCTAATGAACAGAACAACAGCTCAGCACGTGCACTTTAAAACCTTATGCACTTTTATTAGCTCTTCTCTGAAAACAACAACGTGTAATGACAAGATTTTTGGTGTTCTGAGAACGGAATTCCGTTGCCAAATTACTTTCATCTTCCATTTGGAACTCATAGCTGTTCGCTTACAGTATGCTGAAGTTGACCTGTGACACCGTAAGAGATGGGAAACACTTCCAGCCATTTGTGAAATTCTAACTAAAATAAAAATTCGTTTCATTAATCGACGTCCTCCTCGGCGTGACTTAAGCGAGCAAAAACCCTCGGGAAAGGGAGTCTGTAAGCCCACATATTGATCACTGGTGACGCCAAAACACAGGGAAACAGATGATAACTTATAGCTGTGTTTCGATTGATGGTGATCGCTTATACTTTGTTTACATAACCGTTATGCGCGAACTTACCTGTACACTTATAGCGGCCTTCGAGCTTAAATCCCGTGCGACATGCGCAGTTGTATCCACTTCCTGTGTCAATACAGAGATGCTGGCACAATGCCAGACCAGCTCGGCATTCATTTTCCTCTAAAAATAAAGTCAGTTTAATCTCATCAACACGTGAAAAAAAAGTAGTGGGGTTTAATTTAAGGAATTTAGATTAGCAAAAGACTAAGATATTCGATCTGATAACGGATGAGAAGTTATTCAGACAAGTTCAAGACACGGAATGCCATTCTGAATTACCCTTGAACAATATTTAAGTTTTCCAGTAGCCTGCTTTGTTAAACGACCTTCAATTTAGGCGTCGCCAATACAAAAAGTACTTTTTATTAAAGTGATCGGCATTCTAGCTATGATGCTTGGAAAGGCAGTCTACCTTACCGTTGGCTGTAGTCCATCGATAAGCAGGTATCCACTTATTGAAGTAAAACTTATACAGAGGCGAGCCGCTGAAATGCACGGTGATCTACAGAAAGCAGACACAAGCTTCATTTTTCATTCACTTACGCAGTGATTTTAAATAAAATAAGGTTTCATTGGGTGTGGAATTGTTTTTAGCGCCACACTGCTCACCAATCCCATGGCGAATTTATTTTTCCTACTTTATGGATTAATTATAAAGGAATCAGAAAGTCCTTTCCTAGTCTTGCTTCGAACATCTTTTAACCATTATTTTCTGTTTGACTTAAACTTCATTAAAAAGCAGGAACACTGCATGACACTGCTGTACCTCAAAACGGTAGCTGTCTTATTTGCGGGTGACTATGAAAGCTGCGCACAATAAATAGAGTCTGAAATTATCAGGAAAATTCTGTAATGATTATAACAGCTTACCCGAGCTAGTTTCCAGTTAGGTCCAAATCCTGAATTGTCACGATGCACTTTTATAGCCTTCAAATGGCCTACTGGGCTTGCATCTCGATTAAATGTGTCTGTTCTAGAAACATAACATAAAAATCTATTTAAGTGCTTTATTGCCTTAGCAAAGGTAATGGAAGTTACTCAGGGCTTTGACCGATACCAACAAAAATTTCTAGTCATTCATTTGTAATCCGAGTTAATGTTCTCAACACCCAACTGTAAACGTTCTTCATTCTTTGCTCTTGAATTGTCTACAGTGGCAAAATTATATTCAATCTTTTTCTTATTTTTCCTGCGTTTCCCAAATAGTAACTTATAAAGGCATCTTTTAATTGGGTATCATAAAACTAAAAACAGTTATATCTTCGAATGATTAGAAGGAAAGAAGACACTCGTAAGAACTGATGAGAACTCAGAGTAAAACCATGGAAACTGCCCAAAGCGCGGGAAAACTCGGATAATTAAGAAACGATTGTGTTCCAGGTTTTGCATCAGATTGATTGAGAGACTGGTGCGAGTTTGTTTTTGAACAAATTATCTTTGCTCTTGAATTGTCTACAGTGACATTGGTAAAACTACTTCTCTTACTCTTTCTTGCCGAGCTACATCAAACCCGTAGCAAGGTTAGGCAGACTGCATAATCCCCTGTCGTGCAACCAACACTTTACCTTCCCCTTTCGAAGTCCTGCATTGAATTATGCAACTTTATGGAGCCAGTGGAAGCACCATTCACGCCAATAAGATTCACGTACACACGTGCATCAGTACCAGCAAAGGGTTCCTGCGATGTCGTCACTTTTATTTCATAATCTGCAGGCAAAAGAGATCCCTAACGCCCTTTGCACGAGAGTATTACGATCCCTGATTACGCCGAAAACCCACTGGGACTTGGCGAGAAGGAAATTTTGTTTACAACTTTCCTTAACTATTATTTTTATCATTAACTAAAGCATGGCACGTGCAGGATTTGGTAACTAGCATCATTTGATGACAAAACCTTGTGAATTAAAAACTGAATTCGCTTTGAAAATTGATCTTAAGATCTGCCAGCAATACTAAACCTCTGATATCCCATTTATTTTTCATACATCTACTGTGCAAAGTGTTTCTTCATAAAAAGTTAAGCCCTGTTGGACAAACCTCCACTCAAACACTGGAACAATCTACTTTTCTCAAACCTCCTCAACATTTTCAAGACAAGTTTTCAATCCAAATGAAAAAGGACAGCAAGACTCACTTGTCCCATGAGCTCCATTTAAAACCGCTAGCAGAGATAGATATCGTAGTATCAACATTCCTTAGTCACCAGCTTGTTCGTTTTAGTCTGACTGCTTACTGATTGTCATAAATGACTCGACTCAGTCTGCTGAGAAGATCTTCTTTTGAAGATGTAGAAATCTGTTGTTCACCTTTACTTTTATCGTTATGAGTAAGAATTGACGGAGCTGGATAAAATGTATACGCACTAGTTTTGGTTTGATTGATGACATAATAATTTTTCTTGTTCAGTATTTGCTCGTGGCAACACCAATAAACCCAAAATTATTAAGGAAAACTAAACCTTTTTTTTAATTCAATTCTCCTCAATATGACTTTGATTTGCAATTACATTGCATCAGTTATATGAGCCACTGTTCAGTAAGAATTTTGAAATTGATGAAAATCATTACTACTTCTTCGGTTGCCGCGAAGAAATCTGTCGCATAAAGATGACACAACGACATTTTAAACCAATGAAAACAGTCTTAAATTGCCAATTTCCACAGCATATGTTTTCGATTTGTTGTATTGACCAAATTAAGATTGCTAAGTTTACATTGGTTTTTCTCATTTACAACTTTCATAATTTCAGTTCATATACTGCTTTGTAGTTTCCTTCCTTATTTGAGGTTTATTTAAATTAATTTATTAATTTTCTTTATTTATACATTTTTTTACAATGGTTTTTTTATTAAAGCCTTGTTTTTGTTAAATTTAATTGATTCACCTAATCCAATAATGAATGAACCAATACAAAATTTCTGAACTTATGTAAACTAATCTTCACAACAACCAACACATTGAATATCTTCTCGACAGGCCATAACCCTGCATGAATACTCTAAAATGGAACACTATCTAAGCCAGTTCTACTTTATGACACTCAGATTCATTCTTATTGTTTGTCCAATAATTTTGTTCAATAGAAAATTGAATTTTAATTTATAACGTGAAATGTAATGACGTGTCATAACATTTTTAAAAACAAAAAAGGCTTCGTCAGTGCGTCATGTTTCGTACGAAAATATGCTTATTGTTCGTTCAAACTAGGGTGAGGAGACGAGGAGACACACTACTTGCAACTACACCAAATTCGTTGAAAAAAGGCTCACAAAGAAGCACAGGAGCCAAGCTTCCCACATTTACTTCCTCGACTACAACTTCTTACCTCAACCTTTTAGCGGCACTCAACTTTGTCTCAGTAATTGCTAGTCACGAGTAAACTTGAAGCAACTACTCGAACAACACTCATAAAAATTAATCTGATTCTTAAGACTGTCATGATTTAATAACTCATCGTAAAGAAACCGTAAATGCTTCGATCAATCACCGGTATAACTTCTTCAACCTAACCGTTGTGTTGTAGATCCAATCGTTTCGTTAGCCGTCTATGATCTAAAAGAAATTTGTTTTTTCTGACCTTCATCAGATTGGTTATACAACCAGGTTACATAGAAAATCAAAAAGCATGAAGCTTAAGAAAGATGATAAGTTTTGAGATCGGTAAAGAAATAAAGACCATCTTTCTTATTCCATTCACAAACAAGACGCTATCGACATTGCTGATCCTAGCAGTATGCAGGACCCGTGTCATATGAACTTCGTAATAGACCCCTAGCTCACCGTAAAGTCTCTTTGTCCCATGCTCGTGACAAGACGAAAACCATATTTCTCTATTTCTTTACCGAGCTCAAACTTTACCATCTTTCCTTTTTTTTTTTTTTTTTACAAATATCTGGGTATAATTCGAACTGGTTGATTTTACACAATCTTAATTATGAAATTTTCACGTGGGCCGGTCAAGTAAAACTATTCGACTTTCGAGAGGATTTAAAACAGTGGTTCATAAATATGATGACTTTTGCGACTGGAAATTACTTCTAAATTACCAAGAAAGAATACCAGACGCCACTGAGTTAAAGAGTATGCTTATAACCGATGTCAGAACTTCCTTTCACTTGGATAATAGCTCTCGGAAATGTCTCTTGATTCAAGTGACCACTCGTCTTAAATTTTGAGTAGTGTGTTTCAAGAAAAGCCAGCCCATATATCGTAGCACTGACCCTGCCACTCAATTAATGATTTACAGCCAGACATAAACGCAGTCTCAGAAGGATGCCTGTCACCATAAGATTGTGTTTGTGCACAGTTGCTTTCTCCGAACGCTTTAAACATCTCCAGTTCACGCGGGCGAAAATTAACAATCTCCTAGGGGAAGTGCCTTTGTTTACATTTTTACAGAAGGGGACCTCGTCAATAAACCAATTTTTGCAAGGGCAGATAACCAGCTGAAGTATCGAGCGATTTGTCTTATTGTATTATTGTATTAGACAACATTTCTGGCAGGTGTCATCTCTTAAACTCGATATTTGGGAAGTCACATTAGAGGCGGTTGCCTGACTAGTTTCCTCCCATGTCCAGCACACGTCTAGGAGATAATTCTTTGCTTTCTGAGAAAAGGTGGCTGTTTTCTGTGTTTTCCAGAGAGCCCATCCAAAGTCCACCTGGCTAGTTAGGTATTGTTCAGAATTTTACCTGAGGTCCGACCTTGAACGTAGCCACCCCTTATAGAATGGCAAGGCGGTCTTCGTCCATTTCCTCTTGATCTTATCATAGGCGGATTTTTTTGTCAGCTTCACTGTTTGCCTTTGTGAGGGGGCTTTTGGATGGCAGCCAATGACTGAAAAGTCTCGAGACATCCTTCTTCTTAGCAAGAATATCTCGTTTTCTTGTTCTGTCTG